TTGTACGCAGCGCGCCCACCCCTGCCTTTCCTCCTGTCTCCTCCTGCCTCGAATCTACCGCTAGGACTTCCACCCTACTAACGTACTCGCGACGACCATCGCACACACGTATTGCTATAACTATTACGCACGCTCGCTCACCCCTAACGATGGTTGCGGGGGCTGCGGTTACACCGCAGGTCGTTCTTGGGTTCACCACGGGATGCCCCCGTCACCGGCGGTGGTGGTTAATGCCTCGGGTGATTTGAGACTTTTTAGATGCTCCCCACATCGTTGTCGTATCTGAGATATTATAAAGACGGGTACATATGATACGGGTAAATCGCTCGCGGTCACGAAAATATAGAAAATTAAATTATTATTCGAGAGAAAGTTAACATGATAGACAATTATATGTTTAACCGATAAACTAAGATTTTCAGTTTCTTGATAGCTTGATAGTTTAAAAAACTAAAATTTATTTAAATTTATTTAAAACATACTGTAATAACATGCCGTAATAATTTAAAGTATATTAATCGAAAATCTTTAAAATGAAGCAAGGAAAATCATGACAGTTGTTCTAAAACAAATAATTAAGTTCTTAGTTATTAAACTTTATTTTTATTTCTCTTAACATTTTTTATATTTTGTTTTATTTTATATTTTCCATGTTTCTTAATTCACAGATTAGTTAAAATAAATGAAAACTTGAAACTTTCTTTCTTTTATATATAGCAAAACTTAATTTATAACAACTTTTTTTAAAAAAGTAGAATATGTACTATACATATACATTATAATTAGACGTAGTTTGATTCACATATATATACTTTTACCAAATTATTTAAGACAAAAATGTAATTTCTCTTTTAAAATATACAAGATTTTATTTATTGTTCAATAAGATATAAAGGAATATCTAACAAACATAAAAACATTAAGAATCTTAGGAACAGAAACCGTTTAAAATTTTTTATATGTATTTTTCTAATACATGAATGTTCTCTAGTCGAAATGGATCCCACGATAGAAGTGATAAACATCGCGTTGACGTCGTCAGGTGGAACAGGTCGCGCGAAATTCGATGCGGTCGCGTCGGGTGCAGCCTAAATTTGACCCTCGACGACATCCACGACGGCGCTTGTAACGGTCGGAGAGTCGAGCGTCGGTCGGTCGGAGGTCACGCTTATTGAGTTCGGTTCAAGAGCGGGCGAGTGCCAACGGCTCGCTTCGCTCCGATCGTCTTCAAGCCTTCTGTACCCTCGTTTCTCGTTTTTCCGTTCGTCTGGCCAGCTATTTGCCGTCCGCTATTTGCGTGCACGCGTACGCACGCAATACGTTGAAAAAAGAATAGCGCTTCCCGCCGTTGTATCGAGCGCCGAATTCCTCGCACGCGAATCACGCGTCGAGGATACCTCCTTTCGATTTCGTCGCTCGACGAGAAGATCGTCTTACGCGCCTGCTTTGGCTCGACATCGATTAAGACGCGCAGAGAGACAGCCAGCGAGCAATTGCGCGATAAGAATGTTACGCGGATAGTGTTTATCGGTAACAGAATGTAGGATAAACTGATTGATGATGTAAGAGATTCGTTATTTTTAACTTTTTAGCACACTTTCACGCTTACTGCGTCTAAAGTGCAAATTTGTACTTCAGAGGAGGAAAAATGTAATTAAATGTTGAACGTTTTGAAGCGTTTTCTTCTCACTTATTTTTTATATAAGAAAAAGTAATTTTTTATATAAGAAAAAAGTCTCTGGGAGAGAAAAAGTATTGAATCAATGATATGAAAATACTATGTGTGAACCAGTAAAAAAAGACGGCAATTCGAATAAAAAACGAGATTTGACATGACGCAAGTAGATTTGATAATCGCGGATTTCAACATTCACTGGACTATGTGTATATCATTTTAAATCAATACTCTACATTAAGATTAAAACATGAGAAAGTAGGAACATGAAAAATATCGGATCTCGGTAGCTCGGGAAAAACGTCGGAACTACGCGTCGTAAGGGAAAGACGACGAAACGTAAGAGAAAACGAGATAGAGGAGTAAGAGATAGAGAGAGGCGCGGAAAGAGCAAAGAGCTTGACAGGCAAGGCTGTAGGGGTGCAGGGCTGCGACCCGACTGACCCTACCTCGATGCCCCGGCCGCCTTCGGAGCCCTCTCTAGCCCTACTCCGCGCACCCTTACCCTCACCCTTAGCTCCCGGGGGTGGATGGAAGGCGGGCCGGCCCATTTTTCGCGCCCCACTTGACTCCACGTCCTCATTGGCTGCCGCCCTCTCGCTCTGACCTCTCTTCCCTCGGCCGCCCCTGACACCGACGGGGTGGACGACCGCGTTCTTTCCACCTGGGCTCTTCTTTCGGAGAAGAAAAGAAGAGACAACCGAAGATTTCCGAACGACATATTAATCGCTCATCTATACTCATGTTATCCTTCAGCCAACTAATAATATGCTTTTAAACAAATCTTTATGAAGCAATTTTACCACAATGAACTTTTTCTCTTGTAAAACAAAAAATACAGATGAGAATAACATTAAATGGCTAAAAACAGTCGTTGGAAAGTATTTGAAGAATGTTATTCATTGTGGCGGATTTAGAACGAATACGAGCAACATTCAGCGGAAATAATCGCAGATGGATTAAGTTGAAACGGAAAGAAAGAAGCGATAAGAATCGAGGGATTAAAACGAGCTCAAGATTGAGAATCGAACATAGCTCCCTCCCGAGAAGGGCAGAGTTGCTCGACAGGGCGCTTAGAAGGTGGTGATGACGACTATATGGTAGCGGTCGCGGTCGGTTTGATAAAAAGCGTAATAATATGATCAGCAGGTTGAAGAATCCGAAGAGCTTGAGTCCGCGAGAAGAGATTACGAGTAGAGTGGTGGAACATGGTACGCGAGGGAAAAGGAGAGGGACAGGGAACGCGATAAGGAGAACTGCGGAGCACTTGTTCGTGGAGTTCGCGAATGGGGAGAAAAAGAGAGATAGAGAAAGGGTAAAAGGGGAGAAGAGAAGGGAAGACGAAGGAGAGGGAGAGCAGGACGAATAGACTGACGGCAGACGGATAGATAGATGAAGAGTGAGAGCGAGTGAGCAAGTCGTCGGTGCGGCGAGTGAGACAGTCTCGAGCGAAGGAAGGAGACCCACTCATCAGCGATCGCAGAAGAGAAAGAGGGAAACGGCGACTAGATCGAGGAGTCAAAGTGGGTACGGAACTACTTGGTCGGGCAACGCGTGCTGGTTGTCCGGGGTAGGGCAAACCCGTAGCCAATGAGAGGACGACCGGGGCGCGCCCGGGACTCGACCCCACCTTCAGTAGTCATGGCAACCGGTGGTACCCGCGAGAAACCCTCGCGGGTTCGCGATAGTGGGGGGTCCAGGTCGGTGTCAGGGGTCGCCTTAGTCGGCAGTCGGTCTCTGGTCGGCCCCAAGAATAGTCGTATCGAGGCGGTAGTCGAGTATCACCTCTCTTCTTCTCCTCCTCCTCCTACTACTACTACGGCCCGCTGTTCTCCTGCCGCTGCTGCTGCTGCTGCTGTTGCTGCTGTTGCTGATGCTCGGCGCTGCAAGCGCGCGACGGAGAGACGACACCATCACGCACACTATCGCGCAACACGCATCCAAAGAAGTACACGCGCACGCGAGCGAGCGAGCGAGCAAACATATACATCGCAGCTCGCGCAAACGCAAGTGTCGCTTACGGCTGAACGATATATCAACTGCGTACGCGCACGCACGTACGCACGCGGGAATATACGTAGGCACGCTCGTGGCTACGGATGAGAAGGCTCTGAAGAGATATACTCCAAATCGCGCCAAAGCGCGAAAGTCAAGCGGTACCAAAGGACCACGACCGCTCTTTGCGAACTGCTTTAAATTCATCTTCGGAGCTTGTTCATCCCTTCCTCTCCCCTTTTACTATCGGGTCGTGTGTCGCTTCCCTGATAATCGAAGGGTTAACGACTGTCGTCAGAATAGTTCGGTCGGTGTCGGTGCGAGTGTCGGTGTCGTAAACGCGAGACCTTTCTCGTCGAAAAATCGCGATGTACACGTGAAAAAAAAGTGAAGTGCCTCTGAGTGCATGACGGAGTGTGAGGGTTGTTACTGTTTGACATCATTGTATCATTCGCGATTATTGTTCAAACACGTTTATCGGGAGTTTTCGCAGGATGACATTGTGGTTATTGCAGCGCGAGTAATCTACGATTAATAGCAAAGTTGTTTTGGCACCGTGAGATCTTTACTTAAGTACGATATTTTCCGAAGGATCGAACAGAACTCGATTCTCTATTGTTAAAGGATGAAGCTTTGACTTTGATATCCTGGACAAGTGTCTCTACACAATTGCATTCGATAATTGGAGAACGCACGCGTTGGTTCATTCATAATTCTCTGCAAGTATGATAGGCATCGAACATCACTTGTACAGTTTGTTTCGCAATTATGCGTTATTTAGCGGAAAGTTCAGGACAGTGAAGAAGTGAGTGAAGAAACGTGGTTTCTAACAGCGATCACCAATATACCAACGTCATAGTGGTCAACGTGCAGATTTGCCGAGGACATTGCTTGTACCAGGATTTCACATCTTCCAGAATATAGACTGATCCAATTCGAGGAATCATTCAGACGGGCTGAGCTGATCGAGAACTCATAATCGGCCCCGTCGTCGTTGTCGGCCTAATCGCGTCTTACGGATAGGAAACCGGCAGGGTGGTTCGAGGCGGGACGGTAGGCGCGGACGCCCTGGCGACTGCCGGGGTGGTTTACCCGGCCGCGACGGCGACGTTGTTCCCTGGTCGGGTGCCAGCCGGACATCACCACCCCGAGTTCACC